CGCAAGTTTTTCGGGTTGCTGCTTACACATACGAGATCAGAATGTCAAAAAATTTATAACGGCGGATCCGAGCGCCTAGAAAATCTGCATTTCAATTTTGTAATTCGGACACAAGAATCAGTGTTAGGTTTCGGAAAGTTCGGCTGGACGAAAAAATGTATACAAAGGGTTAACGAATTCCCAATTGACCGTAGCGACCGACCGCAATAAATAATTTCGATTTCAATAAATTTTGCAACAAAAATCCCAGGTATTTCGTAATTAGAAATAACAACCGACGATCAATCTATGCATTTTAATAAACAGGCATCCGACTACGCGAACACGAGTAATGGATAATAATAAATAATAATTGATAATTAAATCGCACGTATTGCTACCTCGTAATACGTCCCGAGTAATAACCGCGATAATATCCGCGGCTCGTGTCGATCGCAATATCTCGCAGCCCACGGTCGTCCTTTAGGTTGCGCCTCGCGCGCGGATATTGCGTTTTGCTATTTTATTATTTCAGTATTTTTATCCGCGACGGAAACGCATTTATATCGCAGCGGTGATTTCGCTCTCGGGGTTACCTGCCGGAAACGCGCGCGGCCTTTCCTATCGTACGCACCGCGGGGGTTTTCGATCCCCGGCTCGCTCTCTCACGCAGGTTACCCCACGATCGATGCCCTCCGAGAGGGAAAACGTCAAATTCACGGCGCGGCATGACTCAGCCGGACGACTCATGCATAATTTATCCGGGCTTAATTAGTCAGAGGCCGGAGAAAGGGGGCGGCGGGAGGAGGCAGAGCGGAAGGGGGGAAGGGATGGGGGGGATGGGCAGGGGGGCAGGGGAGAATCGGAAAAGTGCTTTTTCGCAAATACACGTCGTCACCGTTAAACAGATCGCATTTAAATTTGCAAATGATTTACGCCTCTCTCCGCTCATTACGCAGATTACGCGCGTTAACAGTAGTTTCGCCGTCTTCGCCGATTTCTCTCCGTTCGATCGGAATGAATGCGTAACGACCGGGAATGACTTTAACAAGGAAACTCTCGCAGCTGTCTCTCTTCGGGTTCGCGGAGTTCCAGGTGCGCCGGTGGAGCACCGACGAGAAACGCGCACTTTCTTCCTCGCGTACTATAATACCGGAGACTCGGAGGTTGGAACTAAGGGCGAAACTATAAATGAAGCGGCGTTTGAGAGGGAAGCTTCGCGCTAAAAGCACTTTGTAATATTATTCGTTTGGACTTTTTTGTTTTTTTTTTAAGTAAATCGCGAAAAAATCTTTCAACGTTTCTCCAGAATCGTTCGAGAGTTTTTCAATTTACGTCTGTTACTCGCGAAGGAAAAACACATTTCGAGCTAACTTCGCGAAAGGCTGTTTCAGTTACAAATTCTAAAAAAAAACCTCCCCACGTCCTTTCTCATTACGCGAATTAAAGAAACAATTGAGAAAGAAGCGGGCTGTGAAAGTTCTCGAAGATTATGTACCACTTTAAGATCCCACTTCCGAAAGTTGTACTCGCGCCCCAGCAAGAGTTGTCGGCAAGCACAATGGAGAATCACTCCGGGCGTTTATGTATTCGCTGCAGAATTTTATGAGAGGCGCTTTCCACGGATTCTCCTCGAGGCGAACACACGCGGCCCAAAAGAGACGCCGTTAGCTGTCAATAGGAAGATAATCTATCGACAATACCGCGCCGTGTCTCCATCGATCGCTGCTCTCGGATCGGAGGCGGGCTTTACGTTCTGGGTGAACGACACGGCGCGGGGGCCGCGTGCGACGCTTTCACAGTATAAAGCCAATGGCGCACGATACTATTTTTCCCACTGGATTGCTTACGGGACCCAATCAGGATTAGCCTTGAGTTACCTGATTTAAAACCAACGGTACACGATACTATTTTTCCTACTGGATTGCTTACGAGAGCCAATCAGGGTTCAACCTTAAGTCACCTGATCTAAAACTCTGCATCCTGATTGGCTCGCGTAAGCAATCAAGTAGGAAAAATAGTACCGCGTGCCGTTGGCTTAAAACACTGCATTCTTATTGGCGTTCGTAAGCAATTCAAGTGGAAAAAATAGTATTGTGTGCCGTTGGCTTAAAACACTGAATTCTTATTGGCATTCGTAAGCAATCTAGTGGGAAAAATAGTATTGTGTGCCGTTGGCTTAACTAGTAGGTCCACTTTCTGCCGGCCATCTTGATCTTTGCAGTCCCGATCACGTGGTACTCCGCCATGTCTTTGATGCAAATCCAGCAGCATATGTGTGTGTGTGTGTGTGTGTACTCAAACTACACTACCCCACATACAGCTTTTCTCTCATTGGCTGCACCAACAAAATGTCGGATGCGCAGAAGGGATCGACGCAAAACGAAACAAAAGTTATGCTATGGTACAACTAGTAGGTCCACTTTCTGCCGACCCTTTCGATCCTTGTGGCCCCGATCACGTGGTATTTCGCCATGCCTGGTCCAAATCTAACGGCGTATGAGTGTGCGTACACGCACCGGCATAAATGCTGTCCCTATCCTTGTGAGGTGCACGCACACAACTACAGGGACTCTAGTTGTGTGCGTGCACCTCACAAGGATAGGGACAGCATTTATACCGGTGCGTGTACATACTGTAGTGTGGTAGCTTCGATGCACTACCGCACATACAACTGTTCTCTCGTTGGCTGGGCCAACAAAATGTCGGAAGGGATCGACGCAAAACGGAACAACTGACGAAGTGAACTGCTTGTTATACTGTGGCACTGTCGGTCTAGTATAAGAATTGCGGGCAGGTATACACCGTTTGATGCGCGGGGACGATGTAAATTTCTAAATAGAGATCGATATCAGCCGCGCGGGGGCTCGGCAGTGTCGCAGACCGTTTTTATGGCGTTCCCTCGCGAGGGCCCGAAAGCGGCGCCGAAGTTTCCGCGCGGGCGCGCAACTTGGACTTTCAGTAACGTTTTATTCCGCGAACGTACGCCAGCCTCGCGTAACAGCCGCAGCGTAATTCAGCTGGGTATTTTTTATTTGCGGACGCCAAACGGCTCGCTCGACGGAGATCGGGCCGCGCCGCGATAAGTCACACACGTCGCCGATCGCGCGAAGGTGAAATGAGCGCAGGACGAACGTGTGTTTCGACAGCGTGTAAAAATTATACGGAGCAACTCGGACAAAAATAAAAAAAAATGTAAGGTAGTGGCACCAAATATCGCCTGCCTTAACTATTTTTTATCCCCGTGGCCACAAAACTGGTCGAAAAAAGTTCTGATAGAGCCTGAGATGACGGACGGACATCAATTTATTTGTCACCAAACTGGAAAATGTTTGCTAACTTAGTTTCTTTCGCAAATTTTGTAACGAAATGGAAAGTGCCATTTATGGAATGGAAACGCGTCCCTACTTGTGAGCGTAAATGAAGTGTTAATACTGTGTTTTGACGTTTAATTTGTAATACCATCATTCGATTCGTACGCCAGCCGCGCGAAATCTCTGTTAGACCCGCCGAAAGTTCGCTATAAATCCGACATCGTCCCGGAACGAAGGCGTCGCCTTGCGACAAAGACATTTTTACTGGACGGCGCGCTGTGCGTACGAAAAGAAATAACAACGCTCGGCATATATCATTCACGCGTATCGCCTTCGTGCCGGCTTGATTGTCAGGCTTTATTAAACCGGACCTGTATCGTTCCCATGATCGTTGATTTATTTGCCGATCGCGTTTCTTGGTATTAGGATCAGTTACCGCGCGCATGACCACGCGCTACGGCCCGCGTTGGGTTTCATATAGTTGTACGGGCCGGATGATTCATTACCATGCCGATGAGAAAATGAAGGAGAGCGGCGCGCGAACGCGAGAGATATCCGAGCAGATCTTAAATCATGCCGGCTCGTTTCCGAACGCGAAAGTCGTTTATCCTCTCTCTCTCCCCTCTCGGAGTAAACGAGCTCTCCGAGCTTTTCTCCCTGCGGTATCCCGTCGAAGTGTACTCGTAATCGTCCGGAAACGATGCATCGTCCTCCGGCCCCCTCGATCGCGCTCCTCGAAAATTTCCTGCATTTCTGCCGCAGTTTCTGCTTGGACCGCACTTTGACTGGAATTCAAGTCTCACGGCCCCCGCGCGTCCTCGGAATCAATACCCTTAATAATTTCCGAGTATTTTTTTCATCTAATTCTGAGCGTGGGTGAAAAGGTTCGAGGCGACAGTAGAAGTCAATATAATCGACGTGACGAAAATGGAAAACTTACAGGTACACTGTAAAAAAAAAGTATGTAAAATTACATACATAATAAGCGATTACACTATTGATAACGAAAATGTATAAATTTACGTGCTTTGAAAAAAAGATTGTTTTACTCTTTGTCGTGTAAATACTTGTATATACACGACGAAAAATTGTGAAAAATTGTAAAATTTACACAATTAAAGGCAAGCGGTTTACTTATTATTTAAGGTAATAATTTTACCTATACAAGGCGTAAATTTACGTATGTAAATATGGCCCCAATATTACCCACTATTACAATTGTAATTTTACGCGTAATTGTTTTACAGTGTGGAGGAAAGTCCTCTATTATGAGATAGGCTCCTAATATGAGACATGGGGTTTTCAGCACCCAATTTTACAAATCTCTTTTTCAGCAACGATTACACGCGCGAGCTAGCAATACGTTTTCCATCGAACAGCTTTCACTCCGAGGGCGATAAGTTCATGGGGGAACCACCAGACGAGGCCCGTTAAGCAGAAACCCGCGCTATCTCATTAAAAGCCTATGTTGTAACAGGAGACTATACGTATAAGACGGTAATCTTAAGTAGACGCGACGCGATTTGTCTTAATTGAGTCTCTCTACGATTCCGCTATTGTTATTCGTGCCGAGGGGGATCGCTCGTGCGGCGCCGAGGTTTGCTCGGAGGCGTTTTAACATCTCGCGACAAATCGGCCGAAAGAGGATCGGCGCGAGGCAGGTGTGGAACGACGAGTCGCTCTCATCGCGCCACTTTCTGTTCGCAGCTTCGACGAGACGTCGATGGACAGCTGCATATTGGCTACCATCGACGAGAGCCGCCGAGTCAGTGACTTGTCGGGCGAGTCGATGAAGGACAGTAACGAGGAAGTGACGTCACTGGAGGAAGCCAAGCTGGTCATAGCGGCGCTGAGAGCGAGACAGCGGGCGCAGGCCCACCAAATGCTCGCCTGGCGGAGGACCCTTAAATTGCAGGTAAGTTTCAATTACCGGGAAGGATTTCTACATGCAAAGGCTCCCGCACGCCGCTCCGTCCCCGATGAGGAAATCGGCCTAGGGGGGGGGGGGGTGGAACGCGCGGGGGACGATCGATCAAAGCTATTACCTCTGAAAATCGTAAAACACGCGCCGGCCCGCGAGCCGATGTTACGGACAGTGAAATATTAGATACACGGTGATCCATTTAGATGCGAACGGGTATATGTTTTTGCCGCTTTGCGGAGCGGACGAGTGCATGTTTTAAATAAACGTTATGCTTGCGCCTCTACATTGCAGACACGTGCGCTGTAATTGAGATGGCCATTGAATTAAAATTGGGCGCGCGAATCGATTGAAAGAGGGGAACGAAGTTTCGCCGAATGGCTCGTTAATCGTAAGCTCGATCGAACCTCGGCTCTCGTCAGTAGTATTTATTTGTTTCCGTTGTCGATCCGCAATTGAGTCCTTCCGAAGAGCACCGTGGAACGTCGGAAATTCTTTTTCACCCGACAGAGTTCCTTCGCCTCGAGCCTTTCGCTCTGTACCCGCTGGCTTCGTCATGGTGCCAGCGCGAAAGACAAATTTCCGCGGGCGAGCGAAACGGCATTGCTGCCACGAGTCATTGCCGTAAAGAGATTTCCGTGCATTTCCGGGATAAGCCGGGAGCGTCTCGTGACATCCGACGATTTCGCGTCTGACTTGGCGTGACTGCGGACGATTTGCGAGGTAGACCCGCGAGAAAAAAAGGGCTCTCCCCCTAAATTCGCCGGCAATCTGCGAGGGAATAATTGCCACGAAATGATCCTTTTTCTCCGACTACCCCCGGGCGCTACCCAGCGGGAAACCACCGGCGGGACGGCCGATTGCGAGCAACGACTTTCCCGTATACTTGTGCCGAATTTAAACAGGGAATATTAACGTTATTGTGACGTATTCATTTCGCTAATGACAAAACAAAAACGAGTTCTCGCAATACGCTACGGAACCGGGTCTAAAAGGACGCGAGTAAAATGCACGTTTCTCCACTTCCGATGTTTCCCGAGTCGAAATTTTGATACCTTTTTCACACCTTAAAGAATAATTTACACCTACTTAGCTGATTTATACACCTTTGATGACTTAAGATTTTTTTACTCCTCCCTTGAATCTTTAATTCTAACAATGTACTTTAGCTCCTACTTAAAAGGACCTACTTTAATGCTAAATTGGCAAAAGTACAATAGAAATTTCCAACACCATCAGTTTTAAAGTAGAAGTAAATTTTGTACTTGCAGTTCGACCTATTTTACTATCTTAGGTCCTACTAGGTATATAATAGAATTAAAGGATCAACGTAGTTGATCAACATAGTTGATCCTTTAACTATTATAACACTAAATTTCGACTCGGGATTTTGACACTTAAAAATAATTTACACCCACTTA